GGGGCGCTGCATATGCTTGGCCTGCATGCACTGGGTGTGGATGCCAAGCGTGGTGTAGGCACAGTTCTTGACAGTCTGGTACACTTGCGTGTTGGTAGTTGGAAGCACGACAAGCAGAAGCTGCGGCAGCTGCTGCGGCGGCAGCTTAATGCTTTTGAAAATGTTTCTCATCTCACCGGCAATGTCGGAATTTGGGTTTCCGTACATAATGACAGGCCGCGCCTCCTGTACCTGGTAGCCAGTCCGGTTGCAGATGTCAACCAGCGTGGTAACAAAGGTCTGCACCATATTCACGGGTACCATGTTGCGGTTGGCAAGGATCAACACGCCCCAGTATTTCAGCGGCGTGCCGCCGGTCAGTACAGACTTGTCGCGCATGTTCCACGCGCCGCCGACAGGCGTCACCTGCGGAGGGCGCGATGCTTCGCCATACGTGAGCGTGGGCGCAGGCAACACGCGCGACTCGACGCGCGACAGTACGTTGGGCATTGCGAGGCCAAACGACTTAACCACTGGCGAGTTGCCAAGGTCAAGTTTGCCCAAGACTTGAGCAATCTGATCCATGTTGTTGCTCGGGCGCTGACACGCAAATGTCACCATGTCAGCAGTCTGCTTTTCGTTGAGCTTGCCGCGGTAGCGCTGGTTGTCAGCAATCTCGCACAGCTCGATGGGGAACACAGAATTCTTGCGGCCAACCAGCCCGGGCAAAAATGGGTAGCGCAGCATAATGTTGTACCGTTTGCTGTAGTACTTGGAAATTGTGATATTCTCCAAAACCCCAGGATTATTGGGATCCTCCCAGTCAAACGACTCCTGGTCCAAGGGCTGTCTCGTCATGCCCTTGCTGGTCAGCTTGCGCCTACCCTGCATGCCGCGGTGACGAATGTACAGCGACACACCGCGCAGGTAATTGCCGATTACACCCACCTTGTTTGGCGTAATCGCGCCGCGCAGCTGGTTAATGTCGCGCAATTCTAACAGATTTGCCAGTGCATCCAGCAGCGACCCTGGCGTGTACATGGCTGTCACTGCCGTGTTGACGTTGAGGTACAGGCGGCCAGCTCCGGGGCGAAAACTGAACGAGAACCCGCGCCATAGCTCCAGCCCACCTGATGTGGCCTTCAACTGCGAGCGGGTAAAAAACGACCGTCCAAAGCCGACCATCTCGGCGTGGATCACTGACCCGATCGTGAGATCAAAAGCATTCAGGATGGGTTGAATGTCAGCAAACTCGACGCCTTTAGATCCGCGCATAAACTCGGTCAGAAGATTGGCGCTAATGACAGCTGACTGACGGATTTCAATGGCAAACTTCTCAGAGCGCCCATCCTCAATGTGCGTCACATCAAGCGTAAGCGTCTGTCCACGCTCGCACACCTGCTTGGGCGCGTATGCAACCTTGCGCGCGTCGTACACCATCGGGATACCCTTCAGCGTGTTATTCCGATGCATGCGCATTGCCTGTTCAAAGATGGCACGCGTGTAGGCAGGCGGCGGCAGACGTGTAAATGCACCACGCTCCGGCTTCAGCTCAACATCGTACTGGTAGATCTCGCCTTTTGGGTATCTCGAAACCTCGACATAGTTGGAAACCACCTGCATTCTTCTGCCAACCGTTCCGTATGGCTTCTCAAACTGGTTACCAGCTGGTCTTACCACATATCCACTGCCAGCGGGTGTGCCACTGAAAGTGCTCATAATTTATAAATAATAGATAAGAAAAGCAAATAATGAATAGAGTGCTTAAAGTGAAGATAGACTTTTATGAATATGGAATAAAATAATAATGCTGATAAATAAAAGAGCAAAGAAATAGTCGTCAGGGAGTCAAAAAAATTATTTCCCACCTTTATATTTTATGACAAAATTATGTAAACAAGATATGGCGTTGATATTTTTAAATATATCAGAGTAATGTGTAGCTGAGTTACAATTGCTGCAAAACAAAACAAGCATTGTTCAAAATATTTACTGATTAAACTTAAATATAATTAACTAAAAGGGTAAAATGATTAGATTTATTAATTTGTACTAATATTATCATTTCAAAAAACTCCCGACAAACAAACACCAAGACTGAAAGTAGAGAAAAAAATAAAAAAAAGAGAATACTAAATAATATAAAACTAATGGTGCGAAGGATTGACGATGAGCATTAATTAATACTAGTACTCACGTCGACAACATTCAACAAGACATTTGTGAGTGCTTATATTTTTTTTGCCAACACCTCCATTCACGCAGGCTATTTTGTGTGAATAAAATTATATGACTAAAATAAATAACCAAAAATGCAAGATAAAATGAAAGTGGGAAAATAAACTAGGATAGTTTTGTTTGCCCATACCTAAAAAATATATGTTTGTAAATAAAAAATACTTTTGCTTTATTTGTAAACAAATTGATTTTTCTGATCTGTTTTCTTTTTGTTCAAATGTAATATGTATATGCATATATATATACATTTGCAAATTCGGTTTGCTTGTGTGTGAGTAAACATATAGTTAAAATGGTATATTTTATATTCCGTGTATCAGCCCAATTCACAAAATGCGTAACTATTTCAACAAATTGCTTAAAACACATTTTTGTCGCTGTAGATATTCCATGATGGAATCCACTGCAGATACGCAAGTTCTTTTGCAGGGCGTTCCCATCCAAAAGTCAGCGGTGAAAACAGCCAAAACACAGTGACCGTGACAAAAATAACAGTACTCGCCACAAACCAGGTCGCCCTTTGGGGCAAATACCAGCGCACGAGGCATTGTATTTCATACGCCAGCAGCAGCAGCGCAAAGTACAATGCCGGCAGGTAGTGGTGCAGATATGTTACCCGACCCATCAAAAAGAAAGGCAGATAATGAAGTGCCCACCCACCCCACAACAGCTTGGTAGTATCCCAGAACTGGCGGAACTCGCCGGCCTGCCAGCGCCCCTGGGCCTGCTGGCGTTGCCACTGAACCAGCCAGTAGACCATCTGCAGCGGATACAGAAGACAGCAGAGCGTCGATGCCCACCACAGGATCGGATTTCCAATTTCATAGTACTTCACCGAGTTGTCAGCCCATGAGACCATGCGCATCGGGTATAGCAAAAATGGCCAGGTCCATGGGCTGCTTTCTATGGTCTTGTAGTGGTCAGGGTCCGGTATAAGCCCATTGTTTGACATGGCCATCTCGCGGTTGATCCACAGGGTGTCGCGCAGCAGCCGGCGCTTGACCAACTGACTGAAATCGGCACGTGCAAATCGCTTGTCACGCACCTGTTCGATGTTCCACAAGGTGTCTTCGGATTTTGTAGTGTTGGCATCCGTGCAAATCAACTCACTCATCTGCCGAGCAACCTCTTTTGGAAAGCGCGATCCTGAGGCCTGGAGGAGGCAGCCTGACACGACGTTGAACAGGCGGAAGGTGGTAGTTACTGTGTACAGCTGAGCCCTAGGCTTCGGGCTCTCCTCTTCAACAATATGCACGCGCCAAATATCCCACAGCGATGGAGTCGTCTGGTTTCCGTCGACAAATACACGCCTGTCCCAGCCCAAATGGTATGGCGGGCTGCGGCCCGTGCGCAGATAATGACCTGTGCCCACATGCGCCAGGCGAATGAGCTGGCCGTCGCCAATATGTGTAACTGGCGATGAGGTGGTCTCCTGCGTGAAGTTGCCCGATACAACAGTCCACCAGTTGTTCTTCTGTTTACCCGCAACTCCACCGGCAATGATTTTGCGGTCGCGGTCAGGAAATTGGTGTGTCGAGTTGGCATGGATCAGACCAAATCCCGGCAAGTGCGAACGCATTGTGATCTGCGATCCGAATGCCACATCGTGGGGTTGTATGGAAACTACACTGTTGTTCTGCAGCGCTTGGAATGCAGACGGCATTTTGTAATCGCCGCTGCCGCGCGTGTTTAAAAGCGCAAAGTGCATTTTAAAAGATGCCACGTATATCAGTGCCGGAATGACAATCAGGCACAATGCGCGAGCTGCCCAATGCTGCAATTGCGTCGTGGCCGTGGTCTTGCGATCGCTGTACATAGCCAGAAGCTCCTCAATGGTACACAGCCCCACCAGGACAATGGCAAAAAGGCCCACCCATTTGGAGCTGATCACCAGGCCCAAAGCGATACCAGTAAAAGCCAGCCACCTCCACCATACAAATGTAAATGGCCGGGGGCGCTGCGCCGCAAATCCCGCATACCCGAGTAAGGACAATGCCGTAAAACAAAGCAGCGGCGGATCCAAAAGGATGAAGCGGCTGATAACGCACATCGCATTGTCAAACAGCACAAATGACGCTGCCATCAGCGCTGCCGGGCGACCAAAGCCCAAAAAGCGGCATGTGCGGTAGGCAAACGGCACAACCAGCGCGCCAATCACTGCAAGGAAAGCTCGCTGAAACGTGTAGTTGATGTGGTCCGGAAAAGTCGCGCCCGAAGTGTATGCAAAAGACCCATTGTGACCGCCGAGGTATTCGCCCAAACCGACCAGCATCTTGGCCAGCGGCGGGTGTACGTCGTGGTAGAACGTGTGGTTGATGTAGTTGGCGCCGAACTTTCCAAAATGAGTCTCGTCCCACGATACCACTGACCGCCTGCCGATCTGGTAAAGCCGCGTGAATAAACACAGTGCTGTTAGAACTAGAGAGACCATTTTGTCGATATTGTCGAACTCCGTGGCGTCTGGCGCCTGTGCCAACTCAGCGTACTCGGCAGACTCGGTAGCTAGCGTGTAGTGATGATCGTACTTGCCGTTGTCGCTGCTAATGTTGCTACTGCTTGCTATCTCTGTTACTTTTGTTTCTGACTGTGTCGGATCGTGAGAATCATCATGGTGGTGACCGCGGCGTCGCAGCTGCTGTTGTGCCTGCGCCTGCGAGTCAGCTATCATTGCGAAACGTCGGGGCTGCGAAAAAATGAAAGGAAGAAAAGGGAATTTCGAATGACAAATGAGAATATGGAGCGAAAAAATTTAAAAAAGAGCGAGATGCTGCGAAATGAGCGAAGCGTCGTTCAAACGGCCTGCCGAAAAACACACTGTTTGTTTACCATCCATGGAA